GAGAGAGAGAGAGAGAGAGAGAGAGAGAGAGAGAGAGAGAGAGAGAGAGAGAGAGAGAGAGAGAGAGAGAGAGAGAGAGAGAGAAAGAGAGCGAGGGAGCGAGAGAGGGAGAAACCCAAGAGTGGAGAGGAAACCCGAGCGTGATACTGAGGTGGACGATTTCATTCGTCGAGCCGTCCGATGTAACATGTCGTGAAGCTCGCCGTTGTAGAGTCACCTTGAAGTGGGTGCGGGAAGATCAGGTGTGTGAAGTAGCAGCCGGCACCTCTATCAACCATCGAAGAGAGGAGGGACAATGAACCGTATGCTGTAGAAATAGACCGTCATTGAGGCTTCTAAAAGTCCCGCCCGAAATGTCAGGGTGTGAGCGGCGTTGCTCAGTCATTGGGAAATAGCCTATCTCGGAAATAATATTGCAAAAACGTCGGGCCTTTAGTACCCCGATGCTACTTCAAATTTCTAATATTGTAAGCCTTCTATACTTCATCCTTCGGCCCTTCAGCTTTGGGGTCAAGGGAGGACCTTCAGTCCGAGGGGCACCGATTCTATTACCATTTAAGTGCCCCACCGAGCAAAACCGTTTCCCGCCTATTGGCTATAATAGTTTTTCCCATTTCGCCATGTAAACAACCCAATCCTTCCAGCAACCCCTAAACTTTGTTGAAAACACCGTCAGCCCATTATCGAAGTAAATATCAGGGTACCCTCTTTGCCTAAGTTCCATTTTCATGGTTATCAAGAAATTGAGTTCGGATGAAGGTAAGGTTGTGAAGAACTTGGCACGATGGAAAAAAGAGCTAATAACTGCAAGCTTCTGATGCTTGCTGGAGTATGACATGAAATCCTGGATGGCGTGGAACAAGATCTGGCCAGATGTTGCCAAGGAGTCCTGATTGCGGTGAACCGAGGAATAGCAGATACCAAGCGGGGGAGGAAAAACTTGCAGCTTACATCCCAGAAAATTCCACGTATTTGACAGGCTCATTTTTTCCAGAGATAGATTACTGTCGTAGCATGTCTGAAAGGATCTGAGAATTGACTCAGCGAGTTCCCTTGATCGATCAGACTGAGTTGTGAACCTGATAAAGACAGATACGTCATCAACCAGCCTTACACCATGGATCAGAGCACGGTCCTTGCCTAGAGAGGATAAACAATTAACTTCGTTAAAAATGCACAGCAATGCAACGAGGGCAGGGCTAGATGCTTTGCCCATTGGCACACCGACCTCCTGCTTTAGTAGAGACTCAGTTGCGAAAACATACGTGTTGCTGAGGTTAAATGCGACGAAGTCTTCAATGATTGAAAATTAAGAAATTTCCAGCCAATCAAGGATTTGACTGTTGAGAGCTTAGCTCCTTTCCCTCTGTTCTTCACCCAAACTCCCTCAAAGCCCTGCAAAAGCAGATATGAAGTGAACTAGCGAACAGAGTCCAGAATTGCGGCATGTGGGAGGCTGGTGAACATTTCTTTAACGTCATAGCTTGCTGTTAGAAGACTTTCCAATGGGAGCGTTGCCCAGTTGATGTGACGCAGAGAATCTATCAGATCCTTGGTACTCAACAGGTTAAAGTGCAAAGAACTAGGAACGAACTTTATGAGGGTATTAAGACAAGAGGTGATACATTTGCAGGCCCTTAATGAAGGTTTTGAAGACGTAGGGCAGATAGGCCTCCATCTGTTTATGTCCTTATGTTTCGGAATGGCATATCCCTTCCCAATTCTCCCTTTGGAGTTCCAAGGCGCAATAACATCAAAGCTTTGTGTTCGGTACTTTTTGCGACAATCGAGGAGGATTTTGTTCTTCAGTTTCTGAGATTAATCTGAGACCCGTGTTTTTTGCGAAGAGAGAATCCATACCCTTCCTGTAGACTAATGGGCAACACAGAAATGTATCTCCGGGGTTATGGTCAATTGGTGCTAATACCAGGCCTTTGGTCAAGCATCCAAGTTTAGTAACACTTTCAGTGGTAAAAGGAAATGCACGCAAATCAGACAGACAATCGGAAGACGATTTGGTAAGAGAAATAGGCATGGGTTCAGAGGGTGGTGGTTCTTTGAAGCAAGGTTTCAGTAGCGAAGACGGGATGTGCAAGGTGTGCGGTTTTCCCAGAGACGGTAGTTGTTTGAGGGTACAGACGATCTGAGATCGTAGTTGTTGCAGTCCATACTATCGGGAGGGAGCGGGGATGTTTCTGGAGTTACACGCCCAAATAGGAAAAAAATCAGAATCCTTCAAGCGGATAGCAATATGCCCCTCATTGGGAAAAGTCCAAGATAGCCGAGGAAGGGCAGGAGGGAGGATGTGGAGACGACAGAGGAAGGGAGGAGGGGAGGGGGACAGGGGAAGAGGAGGCAGCAGACAAGCAAAAGGAAGAAGAAGAAGAAGAAGAGGAAGAGGAAGAAATTGGAGGGGAAGGGGGAGGGGGAGGAGACATAGAGGAAGAGAAAGAGAAGGAGGCACCAGGAGAGGCGGAAGGAAAGGAGCTTCGATCCTGTCCATATAATTTCATGGCGTTCATAAAGAAATCGTTACACGTACATTCTGTCGGTAACAGGCGAGAATACAACCTGAAGTTATGCAGTAATTGTGCTAGGCTACGATTCTTGATCCATACTACCCGGATTCTCCTAGAAAGCATACCCGCCAGCGAGCCTGGTAGTTCGGTTTCTCGTATCAGACGAACACATAACGCGCGGACAACTGATTTCACGATCCTATCTGAGAACTTGATTTTGAATACTAGGCGCTTACGTGGGCAAAAACCAAACCTTCTACGGATGTTTGCGGATAAGATTGTTCGTAGGGTATATCTGGAGGTTTTATGTGAGAAACATCTAACCGCATCGTACGCATATTCCAAGTTATCGAGGGACCATTTGCAGAGTTCCTTTCGTTCGTAAGGATGGCTTAATAAGCGTGCAATCGGGGGTTTCATACTTTCGGATCGGGAACAGAATTTAATCAGAGAAACTATTTTCACCGTGCACCTAGTTTCAAACCAACTTCTGCATCTCTTCAATTGATCCCGCCCGTAGCTACTTGCAACTATCGAGGCCCCGAAAACTCTCTTTATCACCTTCCATGAGTCTGGTAACATACGCCCTCCCTTCGTTAGAACCGAGAAAGTAGTCACCTTAGCGCTGAGAGCCTCATTAAGAATGTGCAGCAAAGAGATGGAGGGGGCGCCAAACGAGGAGACGAAGTAGGACAGTCTTCTATTGACACCAGGTTCACAAGCCAGCGAGTTGGTTAGAGCCGCATCGTGACATGTTTCATTTCTTCTAGCTCTACTTCTTCTTTCCCTTTTTCCCGGTCTGCCTTTTCTGTTCTTTCTTTTTTTCTGTGAAGCTGGTCTAGAATTCAGATACGGGGAGGCCCATCCTCTGAACTTTTTTTCTGCAGCCATCAAATCAAGAGTCCCAACGACTGAAATAGGGATAGCAACATAGTGATACATACCCGTTCTTCTCAACCAACGATACAGTTTGCGGTTACGTGCCCATCCGGATGAGGATTCTACCTTGGAACAACGATTGAAGTGTTCAGCCCATCTAATATTCAGCGTTCTGCTAGTGCAGCCTATATAGCAGTGTTTGACTAGGGGAGAGATTAGACAGTTGACAACAGGGCCATTAGATGAGCGAAAATCGTAACCATCATTCAACAGATGAAGAAGGGAGCCAGCAAACTTGATTCCCCAAGGTAATTGCTGGTGGAGAATGAGAAAGACGACGATCATGCGAAAAAGATAGTTGAGATCGGAGTTCAGTAATCCTATCTTCCCCTGTCGGAGTGAGAGACATAGTTGCATCAGTCTCCATACTGCTCGCACGCTTGGGCCGCACCTCTAATCATCTGCTATACGATCCTCATCGTCAATGTTGACTGGTTGCGTCTCTTGTCCGTCCGTCCCATCACGTTCTTCCTCTCTGCCATCCTCAGCCTCGGAGTCTGGTACCACCTTCCGTCCGGATTCTCGCTCATCGAAAGTTGTCGCAGTCCGAAGTTCAGCAATGTTGTTGATGGCTTGCTCACAGGTCACGAACGTGATCCCTTCCTTACCACACAGGACCTGGAGCCCATGCTTCCGCAACCTCTTCAAGTACTTCTTCGTCTCCTTGAGGAACTCCGCTCTCTCCACTATTGCAGCCTTCGTCGCCAGCCGCTCAGACGTACTCTTTGGCGGTGATGGCCTGATGGTCAAATCGTCAAGCCCTTCCTCGCGCCTTGGGAGAATTTCTTGTTCTTCATCGTCTGTGGCCTCATACATTCTTCTCGTGAGGTTTGCACGTGGCGTACGGCCCTGCCTCACGAGCTTGGCTACTGCCTTTTCAAATCTGTCCCTGAGAGCTAGGACTTCCAAATCGGCAATCCGCTTCCCTTCCTTCACGGTGTTATATGCTTTGAGCAGTTTCTCGAAGTCTTGGGAGGTAGGTGTGCCTACGCCGATCACCTTCGCCTTCCCTCTAGCCGGAGCCTCCAGTGGGCTGCTGACGCAGACTCCGGCCGCGGGTCTTTTTGCTCCCGTCACACTGTGCTTAAAGGTCCTCTACATTTCGTCCATCTTCTTATTGATGCACTCGTATTCCTGCCGCAGCAACTCGATCTGTCTGTCCATTCGTTCCTTCTCAATGTCGATCTGTCGGATTCCTGGATTTTCTAAATCCATCCGTCGTCGACCATCTGCACCCGCCATGGCTGCTTTAGCCTGGTCCGCACGTCCGAGGAAGAGCTCACAGGCGTCGTTGATCTTGGACCTGATGATATTGCTGATCCGTTCTTCGAATTCCTGCCTCGCCTTAGCCTTCTTAATCGCCTTGTCTTCGGCCTCTTTGATCTTCCTTTTTTCCTCCTCGTCCTTAAGCTGTCTTTCCTTTTCGCGTAATGCCTCCTGTCGAGCCTCCAACTCCATGGCCATAAAGTCGTATACACGGTCCAGCTTGTCCTGATTGAGTTTCCACCAAGACTGCCGGGCTACTAGCGCTTGGCCAGCGGTGGGGGTGCTTGCTGGCGCAGTGGGCGGTGGGTGCAGAGCAAGAAGGGGGGTAAGAGGTAGATGGGTGCTGGCATGGGGTAGCAGTGGCGGGTTGTCTCCGTTAGCAGGCGAAAGATGCGGAAGTCCGGAAGCACGCGGCGGGTGGTGCGGGGCATAACCTGGTTGGCGGTAGGGGCATTCCCTTGCGAAGTGCCCAGGCATATTGCAGTTGTAGCAGAGTCTTGGGGCTGACATCTTGAGTTCGTTGTATTAAATGATGGTTCAGACCTGCAATCACACTAGGAGAAGACCAAAGAAACAAGCACTTTATCCTGCACACAAAGTCAAGGGGGAATATGAGTGAGATATGAGAGCAGGGAGGACGTTAATGGTACAGCAAAACACGAATATCTTAATAAACCCTATCAACCATGTCACAGAGATACCCAGGGTGGAAAGCTAGAAAAGATCCCAGGCAGGAAGCAAAAAGGACAAGGATTAGTAAGTTGATAAAGGAAGGAAAGAAAGAAGGAGAGAAAGACAGGTAGTTAGACAGGTAAAAAATAGGGAGTGAACAGGTAGTAAGAAACGGTAGTAAGAACAGGTGGGGGGCGTTCAGTATGCAACCACTCATCAGTAGTTTAATTTCCACCAAGGTTATTGCATGAGCCACAGGTTAGAGCTGGAACATAGCAACAGAAGTCGCAAGCTCTAATCGATACAGAGTTAGAACATCAAAAAAATAGGAAGGCCAGAAAAGCGTTAGTAAGGATAGTCTCTCCTATTATGCCTATTGCGCCGACTGGAGTCGTCACGTTTGCATTTCGCTATGGCATACCGAAGCATTCCATATGAAATCTCAGCAAAGATACGGAAGACACGTAGCCAGAAGATAAGGGCATCTAGCAACCATAGGAGCATTCTAAGCCATTCCATAGTTGATAGTGAACCATAGGAGGACCGCAAGAAAGGCAGGAAACTGACAGGTGTGCAAGGAAAATGGGGAAGAGAGTCGAGAGGGGCATAAACAGGATCAGGAGATGTAGCACGGAGTATGAAGATCAAACCAGAGCGGAAAGCACGCGCAACGAATAATCCTGAAGCCCAAGCAATTAAACAATAAAGATTGTCATGAAGCACAAATTAGCGACTCCCTTGTAGCCGATCAGACAGCCTGGTCGGCATAGGAGAAGCATGTATCGGCTGCACCCGACATGTTTCGACCGGCGCCGAAAACCAGTCATCTTCAGGGGCAAACCGCAAAGGGGAGGAGAGAGAGAGAGAGAGAGAGAGAGAGAGAGAGAGAGAGAGAGAGAGAGAGAGAGAGAGAGAGAGAGAGAGGGGGGGAGAGAGAGAGAGAAGGGAGAAGCGAAGGGAGCGGGAACTTATCTGTCGTCCGCAGTGTAACTACGAAACAACCGGTCGCTCGTTATGTCCTTCCTCATAAACGATGATCCAGTCGAGCAAATCTCTCGAAGTCGAGGCTTCCAGTAGCTAGGCCGTGGAAGG